AGGAGCAGGAACCTGATTGCAAACAATAGTTGGTTAGATAATCCTTTTGTTTATTGATGTTTTCCCATTTTTCCAGAGCCTCTTTTTGTTGAATCTATGTTGGTTTTGGCGTGTGTTACAAATTCTCTTTTTATTCTTGATTTAACAAGTAGAAATCCAAAAGTAGCAAACAAAGGCATTTAAGATCTAGCTCTTTACTAAAAATTGCTCTTTTTCGCTTTAGCTGATGTTTTATTGCTGCAGTGTGGACATAAGTGAAGAAAATTTTTGAGTTATTTCTGGTGGTGCTACAACAGGCTTAAGGTATGCACGCAACAAAAAGAAGATTCAGTTATTTGAACTCATTTGCTCTATCATGGGTTTCTCGATTGAGTAGTAGTTATCAGTAACTTTCTGTAAGCTTGAAATCTCAGTGATGAAAGCCATGGATGGTATGCATAAATAAATAATCCAATTGCTCTATAGTGTCCATCCCTATATCTTATTAGAATCACTTGTGGTGTTATGGTCTGATAATTTTATGATGAGAACTTATGATGGTGTGCATAGTTGCAATGAAGATGGAACTAACTTTGGTATTGACTCAAAATACAAGGTTGCTGACTATTTGATTTGCAGGAGAGAACTAACGAGGAGATACCAATACCTACATATTTCCGCTTCCTTGCGTTGCTAGCTTTTAAAATATTTGCTGCAGAAGAGGTTTGATTTCATTATCTACCTTTATTGAGCATTTCCCTTACCCAGTGACATAATAGAAGTGGAAACATCTTTTTCTCTTTATTGATACTAATCTTTGCTTCTTTATGCAGGTYGATGCTGCTATACTGGAGGTAGGATTAGGTGGGAAGTTTGATGCCACCAATGCGGTACGTTTGAATTTTCCTCGCCTTATATGCTAATTTCTGCAAATAGGATGTATCCTCTTACCTAACATCCAAGGTTACGGTTCATTAAGACAGGAAACCTGAAATRTGACTAAGTTTCTGATRATCTCCCCCTTTCTTCTATTGTTCAGGGGAAACAGTTATATAAAAYCACTAGATAAGATCAGAACTGAAATCAAACACTCAATTCTAAAATAATATCCTCWAATGTAAAACATAAATTACTTTCACAGCCTTTTCTTGTGACTAAATTAGTTCTCATGGGGATTCAAAAATGACATGTTACAGGTTCAGAAACCTGTGGTATGTGGTGTTTCTTCGCTTGGATATGACCACATGGAAATCCTAGGTTTGTAACTGGAATACTCTCATGCATGRCATACCAATGCTGCTATGAGCAACATTAGTTTTGAGTTAATGAGCAACATTAGTTTTGAGTTACATTTCTTTCGTTTAATATTATATCATGATTTCTTCTTCWCTGTGGGATGCATCACWGGTGATACACTTGGCAAAATTGCTGGTGAGAAGGCTGGAATTTTCAAGGTGGGCTATAACTCTTGTATATCTAAATTTTAAAAAGTGGATAATTCCTTCTTGTAACATAACAACACTCTCCATAGTTGCCTCATCTTCCTTGTCCATCTTTCAGCTTGGTGTTCCAGCTTTCACAGTCCCCAATCTGATGAAGCTATGCGTGTCCTTGAAGAGAAAGCTTCCGAATTAGATGTACGCTTAATTTTATTTTTCTGAACCCTATGGTAATCAAATTTGGCGGACAATGTTTGCGCATATAGTACTTATTAATCCCCTTGGATCCTCGTTGAGCAATATATGGTATGAG